ATGAGAAATCTACTGGACACTTCAGCCATATTGGAGCAGGCACAGCCTTACCCTTTAAACCAAGTAGAGGAGAAACCAGGGTAGTGCTGGGTCCTGCATGCACTGTTGGCATTAGATGAATATTTAACAACAACAATAATAAGAGCAGGGTGGCTAGAAGCAAAGGTCTGTTACACCTCATGGGACCTGCAGCTGTTCCTATGGGCAACAGCCAGAAGCCACAGCTGAGAGAGGGGAAACTGGCAGCCACTGTGCTTCTCTCCTTCATCTCTCATGCTTGCTCAATTCTGTCTGTCTTTTTCTTCCTCTCTTTTGTCCTCCTCCATCTGCCTGAATCCAGAGTTCAGAAAAGTCATTGGTTACTGTGGTAACATCTGCCCTCCCCTTGCCTTCCCCTAATAATACTGTAGCCTACCCAATTGAGCAGGGAATATTTTCCCCCTCTGTACACAAAACACACATGCACACATTAAAGGGCTCTTGGCAAAGTTTGGAGCCCACCTGGCAGAGCCTTGGTTGAAAAATACCTCAATGTCTCTCAACCATCTTATGTATGATAGGTCAGAGCAACTTCTTCCCATCAGCCTAATGACATTCTGAGGGGGAAAGAAGCACAAGAGCATAAAGAAAGTAACAGGAGTATATTTACAGACATGGGGGGAGAGGAAGAAGGAGAGGGAGGGGGGGGAGAGAGAGAGAGAGAGAGGGAGGGAGGGAGGGAGGGAGGGAGAGGAGAAAAAAGAAGACAAATAATTTAAGAAGTTAAAGGTGAAACAGAAAAAGAGAAAACAAAAAGTAGGGAAACTGCTGGTGGAAGTGCCCCTGCTAGTCCTGCGGCTGTGCTGGGCCCTGATCCAGCCTCGCTCCGGACCATTGTTTCCCTGCCTGGCCCCCCAAGTCCAAGTTCATCTGGGTGTGACATCATGTCTGGTTGCTCAGGGAAACCAGACGGGCCAGACGTGACATTGGTTATGGGCTGGAAAGGGGAGCAGATCTCATTCCTGCTCTGCTCCTTCATTCACCACCAGGGAGCAATGGAGGCTAGGAAGGAAAGACAGATTGAGCTGAGAGCTGTCTTATGTGGGACAGGAGGAATGGGGGAAAATCATGTTTCCTCCCATGGTATTCAACTTTTCTTTGTTGCTTTAACCTTCATACCATCATGATTTTCCCTTCTGGTTGTGGCATTGGCATGATTATGATTGCCCTAAATAATATAACAATCCAGTCTTTTTATTCATTGTGCAACAAAATACAGTTATTATTCAATCATTGTAAGGTATTCTCTGCTGCACAGAAACTATAAATATGCAGATCCTTCCTCCTTGCCCTGACTTTTTCTACTATGTTGAGAGTGGCTGGTATGCTCTGCGAACAGGAGTGCCAATGGCATTTAATGGCAACCGCCCATAATATCACTGGTGCTGAGCAACACACTCCTTCTCTCACCCATGCAAGTATGAAAAGAGAGTCAGCTTTTTTCCTACACTGTGCATTCGCTGAGCAACCTAATCTCACAGCAGAGCTAGTGTGGCCTATTAAAAATCAGAAGAACAAGCAGCACAGCCCTTCTTCATTCCTTGGAAGCAATTTTACCGTTTTTGAACTATTTCCTCTACATTTAGATGTTATTCCTCTCCCACATGTCTCTCAGGCTACATTGTTTGCCTTGTACAAGTAAATACCATGTAGAGAAAACACAAAGTCAGGATTTCTAGTTGCAGTGATTATATATGACAAAACAATGCACCATAAACTCAGTTTGCATTTTAATCCACAAAAAAAACAAAAACCAATCTCCTTTTCTTCTCTAGAGGATCATATGGGCGATGGTTGAGAAAAGCTTCCTGGGCAGTCAGAAGTTGGTTTCAGGAATGGATTTCTGATCAAACTCTAATCTAGGAAGTCTAGAAACTGGTAAGTGATCTTCCAGTGCTCAGCACAGATGTTATACTGAGTGGAAAGGTGTATTATAGAAAGGTATAATCCAAATGGCTACACAATTCTAGACTTGGAATTCCCCACTCTTCATCCTTATTTTTGCCTCAGAGCAAGATCCAAATTTATATCTCCATTCACCACTAGGTGGAGCTTTGAAAGAAACTTCTCTTGAACACAATAAGAATGTGACTCAAAGCTTCTATGGCTGCTGATATCAACCAGGGGCATGGCAATCAGATTTCTCCTTAGTTTGTTTTCAAAGGATGTTACTGTTTGGAATAACCTGTTACTATAGACTACTACCTTCATTTCCATCTCCATCTCCATTTCACCTCCATGGAGGTTCTCTTGTATGTATGCAACTACTTTGCACAATAATTTAGAGGATCAGTTGGTTGCTAGCCAACTGTCTTCAGTTTCTTATTCTATGACTTTATAATTCCAGTGGTAGGTACCAAGAAACCAGGCAGATTATTTCTTTTTTACTCCCTGAAGGAACTGGAATGGTGGAATTGAGAAAAAACATAATAAACCAAAGTGTAGTAGGGGCAGGAAGGCTTTACAGTTTGAAAGAGGGAGGCTTATTGAAGTGGGAGAACAACAATGGGGCAAATAGGACCAGTGCAACACAGGGCCAGGGTAATTCAATTTTAATTTTGAAAATGGGCAGGTTTTTTTTTCCAAAATGTTTTTTTAAAATTGGGGGGGGGGGAATAAACACACTATGAATTGGGACAATGTGGGACAAAGTCCACACTCTTCAGTCATATGTGCATACTTAAGGAGTGTGAATCCTGGTAAGACAAGTGGATGTGGGTAGGGTCCCTCTGTATCCAGGAATTTATCCTCTTTGCTTTTAGATGAGGTTGCACTACCTCAGACAGACCCGGTGGGTAATTTGAGGGATCTCTTGGACTGATGACTCCTGCTAGCAGATGGCAGCCGTGGTTAGGAGGGCTTTTGCTCAACCCTGTGTTGTGCACTAGTTATGCCCATTCCTGGATAGGGAGGCTCTCTGCTTATGCCCTGGTCATCTCCCATCTGTGCTCTACATGGGGCTATTCTTGAAAAGTATCTGGAAGCTTCAGTTGATGCAGAATGGAGCCACATGAACTACATTGGGTGCCCAAAAAAGGGCACATGTAACATTTCTACTCCGCAAACTGCATCAGGTGCCATTCTGCTTCCAGATCCAATTCAAGGTGTTGGTTATCATGTATAAAGGCCTACATGACACGAGGCCAAGCTACCTACAGAACTGGCTTCATCTCATTACATCGGCCTATCCCACCAAGTCAGTTAGGAAAGGTATGTTGCAAACCTTGTCAGTTAAAGGACTAGAACTGATGAGATCTAGGAAGAGAGCCTTCTCTGCCATTATTCCTGTCCTGTGGAATATTCTGCCCCAGAGGTGAGGCAGACCCCACTCTCCTAGCCTTCCCAAAAAAGGTTAAACAAGGTTCTGCAGCATTGCGTGGGGAGCCAAAAGAGCACACAGTTGTTTAATTTTTGTTTTGATGTTTTGTTGTACATGGAAATAAATAAAACCCTAATGCTGGTAATGACTGAGTGCATAGATTTGGAAATAGCATCTTCCAGGCATATATTGCTTGAATGCTTAGAAAGCATTGTTATGTCATTATTAAACAAAGTTACATGGATATCCGTTTCATTCTTTTCTTGAGATAAACTGCATTTTTATTTCTACTTAGGGTAGACATAACTTATTAATTATTTAAACTTGAATATCTGTAGTTAACCTTAACTACTACTAGCAAATTTATTTCACAAGTCATGAGTACTTCTTTAAACAAATAATAGTTAACCTTAACTGTCATTAATAGTGCTAAAATTTATTTCAAACACCATGAGGAGCGGGAGAGATCACATTCTGCTCTTGCCCATGCACAACAAGCTAAACTATGGTTTTGTATTATATGTGTGGTTATGTCAAGCGATGATCTATTCTTCCCAAAATATATCGAGATTGGAAAAATATGGGTAACTATGGGTGATAATTATGATTAGTGCATATCTTTCTATACTCAGTTTGCATATAGAGAGTAAAATACATATCATGATCAATATGACTTTTTGCCATGTGAATATAGACTAAGCATTCTGTATCAATTTGAAAGCAGCAGCTTCAAACCTGTGTTCCTACAATAGCCACAAGAAAATTGAACTTGTTTGTTTCTTGATTCTGTAAGGGAAAAATTAACTTCAGGGCTCTGCAGCTTTCCCTAAGTAGAAGAGAAGTGAAATTGACTGGTGTTTTGTCAATTTCTCCCTTCTATTTGGCAGGAAAGGAACAGCTGTAAAGCACTAGGTCACTGGGCCCTAGCAGCCTTTTTTTTGTGAAGTGCCAAGTGGAGATGAGGAGATTATTGCTGCCACAGAATCTGAAGATGTAAATTCATTTTGTCAGCACATCAAATTGGCACAAAGAAAGACAGTTGGTTTCTAAACTGCTTCTCAGGGTTGGAGCATGAAAACAATAGCAGTGTGGAAGTCTCTATGGAGTATTCTTGAGCCATATTTCATTTCATTCCATGGTGAGAACAAATGAACAGTAAATACATCATATCTTCAGAGACAGTGACCTGCCCAAAGGCACCCAATGAACATAGTTGAGCAGACTGATGGATCTTCCCCATTCCCTAGCCTGTCACTGAAATATATTCCAACTTGGGAATCTTTTCAAATTCCATCTTAGACTGAGACTCATAAGTTAAAGACTCTCTCTGAAACTCATTTTCTTGTCTGAAAAATGAAGGCCATAGTTTCTGAAACATGACTGTCTTTCAATAATCCCCCAAAGAGTTCTGCTGTAAATTCTGGACTTTATGGCACACCCCATAAGTAAATACTTAGATCCCTAGTGTTCAGTCCTAATTTTTATTCTATAACTGAACTCTCTCTTATTCATAGATAGAAAAATTCTGAGGTGATCCATATCCATCCCTTCAACAGAACCATTCCCCTCCCCTTCCCACATAAGGCAAGCTACATTTGGGCTACTGTAACACATATACCCCTATGAAGCTGGTTCCCCCTACCTGAGATTGCTGGGGGATGTTTAGAAAGTTGCCGTCCCGGGGTCCGATGCCGACAAACCGGTTGGCAGAGGAGGAGGAGCCTGGCGCTGAGAATGCTAGAGGGGAAAGAGATGTCAGGCCGTTAGGGCCACTGGGTGAGGCTGATGGCATTGATGGAAAAGGATGGGCATGCAGGCCCATCAGATGAGACTCAAGATAGCAAAATCCAAAGAAAAAAAAACTGGGCATCATCTTTTCCTCCCCAGAATACCCTCTTGTCAGTAAACACAAAAGAATGGAACAGCCAGCTCTTAGTTGTCATTGGGGCTTCCTTTGAATGATGATAAATACATTTATTTATTTATTTATTTTTGTTTAAGATACAGGAATTTAATGATATTGATAGAAAAGACCAGCTTTACTACAGAAGTAATCCCAACTGTTATGTGGACAGCAGCTTGATGGAGACTTCGCCTAAAATCATACACAGCATCCCCTGTGCCTTTATTGGGGGCAATTGCATTATTTTACTATACAGGTTTTACTGAGTGAAATGAATACTGGGGAGAATCTAGCTTTTGTTCCATAAACCTCATTTCTCTTGGGCATATTATTTTTTTCTGGGTATAGGTCCAAAGCCTTCATCTTGTGGCTTAATTTTCTCTGCATCCCTGGAGGTGGCTGGGGGCTTCTATGTTATAACCACTATTAGTAGACTCAGGCAGACCTCCTACCCATTTGTAGGATAGATGTCATTCCAGAACATGCTCATGTATAGGCCTGCCAGGAAATGGAGTCTCTACGTCTGCATGCCTCTCCTGGGCAAAGCACTGTGTGCCAGAAATAACTAAGCTCAGCTCTTTGGTATTTTGTTGGTGGCAGAAGAGGGCAGAGCTCTCAATGAATCTGGGTAAGGGGCAAGGAATGGACATGGGAGATTCTCTCATCCCCCAAGCGGATCTCCAATTTGGAAACCTGTCTGGGGCTAAGAAATGCTGTAAATGTTATCTACAGGTACTACAAACCTCATGGTAATATACATACACACACACGGGCAGGAGTACACAAAAACAGCCAAGTATGGCATTTCACTTTTACACTAAGCCTTTGATCACAATATTGCTCGACACTTAAAGCTGATTTCTACATTGCCCAACCTGACAGGACATTGATGAGAAGGCAGAAGCTCTTGTTTGGTGAGTTTAAGGCCTGGCTTATGGAGATGACTTCAGCGTTTGGCTATAAGAATCAAATGGCTTTTGCTAGCCTGTATTGTTACACCACATACTCTCTAGTTTTCAATGGAACACTTCCAGACTAGATTTCTCTTTGTTGACCTCCAGCTACCAAGAGGGATGAAGAGATGAGCTACACAACAAGTAGGCCCATATGAGGGATCTGTTACTGGGCTGTTTCTGGGGTGTTACTGGGTTATACTACTGGATGGGGGATGAATTTTACTGGTCTCTGTTAAAAAAGGAACAAAATGGGCTTATGTAAGAGAGATATTGTAGACTTTTTCCTATATAAAAGGAGTGTTTTTTTTCTTTTCAAGAAGAGAGAGCATTCAAATATTCAATAAATTTAAGATAAACAATTATTCTTATTTATCTTCATCACCTTACTGGCTCAGAGCAGCATTAATACTTCATACTGGTCCCTGCTGATCATGCATATCAGTTCTTAATGAGAGCTGGAGTTGAGTTTCAACCTTAGAAGCAGCTTCAATACCCCATTTCCTTCTGAAACTTTTGTTAGCCACCTTGCAAGAGTGGGAAGATGGCAATCAGTACATAACATAGCTTCAGAATTTTCCTTTATGTCTACAGCTTGCCACCATCCCGTTTTTCTTATTCCCAGACCCCTCCCATAAATTATCATAAATTTAATGAAGAGTATGGAAGTGTGAGAGTGAGTAATGCCATGAGCACAGATGTAGAAAAGAAAAGAAAAAGAAAGGGAAGGAGAAAAAGCAAAAAAAGAAAGTGATACTGTAGCCAATCCTTATCTCCAAAGGGACTCTTTGAAGCCAAGAAAGATGGTAATAATGACTTCATTGGCGATCTAGATGTTTTAACTTCCACCTCATCTCTAATCAATCTGGTAGGATTCCCATTTCTCGGATGGAGATAGGCTTCATATTGCATAATGCCACCACTCTTCACCAGGAAATACCTGCCCTTCTAAAAGTGGGAACAGAACTTCTAGGTTTCTGATCTATCCACTCCCACTCAAAGGTCTGGGTTCCATTTATCATCAAACATAAAGGCCGTTTTCTGGAAGTTCTGCTTCCCAATGTCTCCTCCTCCCTCCCTTCCATCAGATTACCCTTTCCTGAGAAAGCACAGACCACAATTCAGGGTGATGGGAGGAAGCTTGCTATGGATCTTAGTGGGAATTTATTTTTGAAGCCCCAGAATATCCATAAACACAACCCGTCCTCACAATACAAAATTCAAATGTCTCTCAATAATGCTTATTCTCAGAATTATCTATGGTTTATTTTTCTTCCTTGGAAAAAATCTCCAAATTTACCAAGAAGCCACCATGGCAACCAACAATATAATGAAAAAATAAAAAAAATAAAAAAATAAATGTGTTGGAGTTCGGCAGCTACTGCATCTTTAAACGCTGGGAAATGGGATGGAAGGTGTAAAGGGATAATGGCAGCTAAGGAAAGGGATCACATGGGGTGTTTAAACCTTAAAAATAAGCACAAAGCACAAGACTTGATGATGACAACATGGTGCCCCAAACCCACCTTCTGAATCTGCCAGTTGCTTATAGCTTGCTTTTTCCCTCTCATTCCCATTCATCTTTATCTATTCACCTTTTTTCCCCTTTCTTCTCATTTGTGCCTCTTTTCTCCTGCATTTGTTACTGTGCACATTCTTCTTTGTTTTTTCCCTTTTTTTCCCTTGTTCCTCCTGCTCTCCTTATTATTTCTGCCTTACTTGACACCTAATGAGGGCCCTGGGGCGGGGAATGGAGACTAAGTTCCATTTTGCTTTGTGGTTTGGGTTACACTTGGGTCCACTTACAGGGTGATGTTGGTGTCGGCGCTCCGCCCTCTGGGTTAGTGCTGGTGGATTTTGTATCAGGCATTGGAAGGGGCACTGGTCTGGCCACAGGTGGAGGTGGCGGCAGCAAAAATGACCCCGTGACTTTGCCCTGGCCGCTACCGTTAGGCTGCGAACAACATAAATACAGTGATGCGTGAACGAGACAAGGCAACGTTAAAGATGCAGTATCCGCTGGTGGCTCTCGGGGCAGAGTAGTGGAAGGATTTTAATTTGATTTAAAATACCCTTTTTCACCCACTTCTTTCTTCTTAAAATCACACTTTAGTATTATATTTTCCCCTTACCTCCCTCAAATATTTCCCATGTCAAACATTTCCCACGTCCTAACTCTCTTCCTTTCAGATGTGTCTGTCCTGTTTTCTTATTACAAGTCAGGCCTGAGTCATTATCAAGGAATTGCCTTTGTTCCCACAGAATAGCAGGGCTCAACAATGACAACTTCATTGAGATAACAAATGGATATCTTCATGGAATTATTCATTAGCTCTGAAAACTTATTAATGCCAAAGCAACCACTATGTGAAGTATGAACTATATTCTTCTGGTTAGATTGGCTGCATCCAAGACATGACCCTCCTCCTAGTTTTGTGGGTCTGCAGATTTCAATGCCTAATTGAATGGACCTATAGGAAAGTATGTATGCACTGTTCACATATAGCCTGACCTATATATTCACCATTAATAACTTTATCCTTTTTTCTCAGCAAAATGCCCACCGTGAATCTCAAAAAAGAAGAAGAAGAAGAAGTATGAATCTAGTTCTTAGAAACCAGCACAAGATTTTATGGTAGGTACCCAGATTTACTTGGATCTGTAACATTTTATTTCTTAGTACTGGAGCACCAAAAAGTTTTTTTCTAACCCTTTTAAAATATTATTGTTATTACTACTACTATTAATACCAAAATTTGAAAACAAACAAATGGAAGAAATCAAGAGTGGTACACCAATTGTTATTGAGGAATTATACCACAAGAACTTAGAAATAATTTGAATTGCTGAAATTTGAAACAATGTCTGACACCTCAACTACAAACAGCAGCATTGATGGGAACCTCAGAATTAGATACTGCCTTTACAATTCCCAAATTCTTGGGGAGAGCTTGAGTTTGAGATGAAGAAAATATTTGGCTGTGATACACAATAGTGGAATAATAATTTAAATTCAATTGTATCACAAAACTAATGAGTTTGGATTAGCAGAAAATATCTAATTTTGATTATTCACAGGTCTCATGCTAGAAGCTTTGGGGCAATTATTTTCTTGTATTGGTTCCTCCCTGCCATGTGCAGTCTATAAGATGCAACAGTTTTTCTAATTGATTTCTGTAGCAAGCAAAATCCATGGAAAGGATATTACATTAATAATTAGGACTTTATAGACATGTGCAAGAAATAGGGGCTTCTTGTGTGATTTTACCAGCTCCTGAACAGAGGTGATAGCTCCCTTTGCCAAGAAGCCACAATTAATGTGTTCACATGCTTTTTCTGCAATCAATCAATCAATCTACTTGCTCCCGGGCTTCATACACTGCCTTCCCAGGATTGGTCAAAGTCCTCAGAGGATTCAGAAGCAGAAATATCTAGATTTTGGATGGCAGACCAATATTCTACAAACCAGGAACCAACACAAAATTCAATCATTACTTAAGTCTAAGAATGACAATAAAGTATTATAAGCCATCAATATCTAGTTCTACTAACAACTCTACTGTTTGATCTCTGGAATTACTTTATTCCTGGAGCACTGATATTTAAGCCAGGATAATTATCCTGAGTAATATTCTATGCTGGAGTAAACAACAAAGCATGGTAAGGAACAGTAATGAGTCTATCGTTTTTAGCCTAGATGGGCCTGTCTAGGGCTCTTCTCCTCAGACTTAATGCCAGCTGATCTGCTTCCATACTAGCTTATTATCCTGCAATTGCCATTTTGGATTCATTTATTTCTTATGGGAAAATCATCAATATTTTGGTCAGACTTCACTGAACTATTTTATGTGTTGTCCTCCTAAGGTTTTTTAAGAACTACTTTGTAGTTTTTTGTGGGAAGAGTACTATAAAATACTTTTGCACTATAATCAAACTTTCCACTTTAGACAGCAAAGTCACTAGTGAGGATTTTCACGGCAAGTGATTTTTAAAAAGCTGCTTGTTTGAAATTCCAGTTTATGTCATTGTATCCTGTTAAGTGAAACTGCAAACAAATTATGAATAAGAAATTTCAGATCTGCGTGTATGTAAAAGGACTGGTTTCCTAGGTTTTTTTTTCTTCTTCTTCTGACTAGTGAAATAAACTATTTTACATAAAGGAAAGAAAAATCAAGGATCCAGGAATTCAGTACATTCATATTCTGGACAGGAAAAAAAGCTAAATAAAAGGGTCAATTCATAAATGTTCTTTTAATCACACTGATCAGGAAACAATAGGCTAACAACTGCCATGAAAAGGAAATTTCTACAAAACATTTTGTAGTAGGACTTACTGATGCATCAATATTTTAGAAAAAGCCTGGCCATGGATTACAATAAAACAAAAACAGCAGCAAACAGTAATTTCTCATAGGTTTTAACCACTCCTGACTTTCTTACCCTCTAAAGAAATAGAGGCGATAGCTACTGTTCCCATGAAGCTACAGTTAACAAATTCCTCTGTTTCAACTGTGATCCATCAACTTGTTCCCATGGATTTTTGCAATTTATTTTTTATTCATTTATTACAGTAATTTGTATGCAGCCTAGTTGTCAGGCTTGAGGTGGCTTACCATATTAAATGGTTTGTACACCACTGACACTAAATTGCTTTAGGAATAGAAGCTACTGTGGTTCCCTTTCAAGACTCTTGTCAGTTCACAGAGGCTGGGATGGGCTGATATACAAAGGGATTATTGAGGAGGTGTGCTTGTTTATAACATCAGAACTTTGAATTATTACCAATCAGGTCATGGAGGGAGGGGGTGGTCTTTCAATAGGAGTGCTCAAACTGAGCCAAACATATTATTGAGAGTATATTAAAAGAAATATTTAAGTACAATCCAATTTACTTAGGTAAGTTGGAATCAAAAGTGATTATAAATAAATTACCCATGAATTTATTGATTTCCCTCTTTCCTTCTTCCCCAAAATATAACTAAAGATCACAAACTTCAAAACTCCAGGGTGTTCTGAAAAATTCTCATTTCCAGGTAAGTAAGTTCTTTTCCAGTGTCGCAAAGCCTAACATCTTTGAATCCTGCCATTCATTTCATTTTCACAAGTATCACAAAGATAAATATTCTAGAATGTGCTCAGTGCAACTGTCTGGAATTCTTTTGTTCAGGAGCTCTGAAGACTTTAAACCCTTCAGAAACTTATTTTGGAAAAAGGTGTGGACAGAATTGGGGTAGAGAATTGGATGATAGGGAAAGTAAAATCTGTATGGGCTATACCTGCCGATGCTGTAAAAGTCAGTTCCCAATTAAGGTCAAACAGAAGAGAAAGTTCTCTTTTGAATATGCTGCATCTCTCTCATCTATACTTTTAAAAAAATATTCTGGCTGCCCTGAAGTTAGTTTTCCCCAGTCTGAATGTTGGGCCTTGTAATTCAGTCTAATTTCTGAGGTAAAGGTAAGATGCCAAGAGCAAGCCCAGTCAGACAGTTCTTTCAAGGAAAGAAGGCCCATTCTGTCAGACCCAAGGACTAGATAATACTGCTTACTGTACCACATATTTCCCTATGCCTTCAGCAGGCAAGCAGGCAGGCAGACAGGCAGGCATGCAGGCAAACAGTCAGTGTTTGGGAGGGAGATAGAGAGGGAGAGGAGGTAGAAAAGGACTGTAAGGCAGGATTCTGGTGGACTGGCCGGCATCCTTGGGCTAAGGTGCAAGGCTCTTACCTGCCCAGAGCCCTGGCCTGAGCCATCCGAGCATACAAACTGCACAAATTCCTTCAGCGAGTCCTGGCCGTGGTGGTGGTGGTAGCGGATGGTCGGGTGTGTGAAGTAAGGGCTGGACTGTTGGATGATGGAGGTTGACGGGAAGTGCAGGGCCGACGCTGTGGCACGGGGGCTTCCTGGAGAGTGTAAGGATAGATGGACAGAAATAGAGAAGCACAGAAAGAAAAAGAGTGAGAGAGTGACAGAGAGAGATGTCAGTAACAACCCCCATGCCATGCTGCTTCCACAGCCCAATAGCTACTTATACCATCAAGGCCTCTGCTGAAAAATTATCCCCATATTCTTGTTTTCAAGGCTGTTTCAATTAAGGATTGTCACAATCCCAACAAGGAGTGGTAGTTTCTCTTTTTCAAAAGAGATTAGCATTTGCAAAGATATGCAAGCAGGTTTGAGCTGCATGCATTATACATCTGGAATTTGCAACAACCATGTATGTATCATGCACATATACATGCAGTAAAAATGGGATATACATTTGCTTCTGAACATGTATTTATACCTCTGACATTTTTACTAAATTTTACTGATGTCTCCTTCCTCATTTCTTATGTACTTTACTTCAGAGTGGTAGCCTAACAAATACCTATGTTTTCTTACATTTATATCTTATTACTATGCTCTCATCTATTTCTTTCTTCTTTTGAATGCTTTCTACTCCCATCTTCTAATTCATTAGTAACCTGTCTTTTTCTCTTAAACTGTTCTATAAAGCATAATGTACATTAAAATAAATAACTTCTAACTGTCACCCAGGTGTAAAAGGGCAAAAGTGCATAACATATTCCTCTCTTTGGGAATTATTGGCACATTGTAGAATGGAAAGGGACGAGGGAAATCAGCCAAGAAACCAGCTGTTGTGGACGGGGGATTGACTCTCTCCTACTGTATGTGGCTGAAGTTCCTCCTACACAGAATCATACACTAGGCAGATGGTGGAAATTGGAATAGGGAATAAGGAAGCAGAGCAGATATTCGTAACACTGAAATATAGGCTATACTGGGCAGCTAGAAGGAAGGTAAGAAATTAAGCATATAGAAAAGGGGAATGAGCTGTAATTCTTTCACTGATTTAGACACCCCAAGCCAATTTCCAATTTGCTGTTCTTGGACTAGCTAACTGAGTAAACAGTTGTAAGGGAAATCCAGAGATCTGAACAAACTGTTTTGTCATTTTCAGAGGTGATAACTGCAGGGCTGCAAAAGCAAAGTGTATTTGTTGGGCAATTCTTTCCACAGGTAGATTCATAAGATCACATCTGCAAGGCCAAATCACATATTATAAAAAAGATGCTTCACTTTTCAAAAATAAAAAAGACTTTCTTTTTTAAATGAATTTCAGCACCAGGGAAGGAGGTCTATAATCCAATTAAAATATATGTATCACTGTCTGCTCTTTGCTCTTACAAGAGAGAAAAAAAGATAAACAGCTGGAGAGAAAAAAAAATTAACTGGGAAAATGATGTGAGAGGAAGGTCTTGCTCCTTCTCCCATCACTCCATATCTCAAATGAAATTGATATTGTGGATCTTCTGCACAATTAGTTGTTGGCCCTTAGATATTGTAACATATTAAAATTCCTCCTAGCAGACTTTTTTTTCAAAATTATTAATCTCAATTATAGCTCCATCTGTGATATATGTCTCTGTGTTACTTTAAAAATTATATGGCTTTCAAATAACTTTTAAAAAAATAATTCATGTGTATTGCAGTAACAACATCACACACAGCTACCTTCCCATGAGTTGAGAACTAGGTGTTAATGACAGAACTAGAAAATATGAAATCAGCACCGAAATTTATGAGTACAGGTATCCTCAACTTACAAACACAATTGAGCCCAAAATTTCTGTTGCCAAGTGAGACACTTGTTAAGTGAGTTTTGACCCATTTTACCACTTTCTTGCCGCAGTTGTTAAGTGAATCACTGCAGTTATTAAATTAGTAGTAATAGCAATAGCACTTAGACTTATATACCGCTTCACTGTGCTTTACAGAGTCAGTATATTGCCCCCAACAATCTGAGTCCTCATTTTACTGACCTCAGAAGGGTGGAAGGCTGAGTCAACCTTGAGTCAGTTAGGATCGAACTCCTGGCAGTCAGCAGAGAGTTAGCCTGCAGTACTGCATTCTAACCACTCTGCCACCATGGCTCCTGCCGTAGTTACATGGTTGTTAAGTGGATCTGGCTGAACTGTTGTAAGTCGAGGACTACCTGTAAAGGCTTTTGAAATGTGATATCTATACTATGCTATAATTATGTCTGAGTATAATGTATGCCTTCCACAAAAGTATTGGCACCTTTAATGACTGCTTGTTTAATTATTGTGTCTTTTAGCTAATGGCTTTCACTCAAGCTTGGGATCAACTGTATCCAATATATACTTCAAATGGCAGGTCAGAAAGTTTATTTTGCCTAATACGTGACCTATTTTAGCGTACATCTGCTTCCTTTAATATTATGCCTTTACCTCTTTCTGTAATATAGATTACGTAAGTCTTTAACCCCATTACCTGGAGTCCTGTACTGATTATTCCTTCAAAAGCTGTTTATTATACCCTATGACTTGCTGTCTGAGAAGTTACAGGACAAAGAGAAGGGAGAAATCAGTCCTGCTACAATAAATTATTCTGTTAGATCACCAAAGTAGTATTATACTATACAAGTGGAGACTTGGTAGAGACTCAAGCAAGTAACGACCTCTCTCCAAACATACCACTGATACTCTCTCCAAACATACCACTCATCTTCATAAGTCCTGGTTCTCTCTGACAGTTTACTGCCTCTTGAACTGCCATCCATGGCAAGATCCAAAACACAGAGTGACAAGCAAGGAACTGTTCAGCCTACTGATATTTAAAATGTTAATAATCTGTTTACAAAACCTGTTTGATGCTTCAGTGCAAGCCATTTGACAATGCAGCTTAGTGGCTTATCTAGATAAGAGGCTGGAGACATGTATTCTAAACTTGTTTGTTTTATTTGTTACCTGAATCACCTCATCAGATATGTTGCTACACGAATTAAAATGCTTTCTTTTATTTCTTCCCTCCCTCTACTGCACACATATGTGCAACTTCTACAGTTCTGTACAAAACATCTGACAATGCAGTACAACATCACTGTAAGTGATATAAAGTCACTATTAATCAGAAACCACAACATCATCCTAAGGAAAGCCAAACACCAAAAACTGTGACAATATCCCTAAACTTCAAACATTATGCTTATGGTCGGTTACAAGAAATATAACTAAATACCTCCAGCATATACATCCATATCATGGTTCTTCCTAAACACCAGTCATAGGAATTTATAAATAACACTTAAACAGATTCTCTGTTCATTTGATCTAAGTGCACAGACTTTAAATGCCTTGGCTGAAAGCTGCATATGCCATGACCTAAACAAGAAAAAGATGATGCAAATGGTAGCCTGGTCTTCAAAAACTTTAAGAATTTGGGAGTGGTGTGATGGCTCAGCGGTTAAGTGTTGGGTTTGGGACCCAAGTGTCATGCGATGGGGTGAGCTCCTGTTCTTGCCCCAGCTCCTGCCCACTTAGTAGTTTGAAAGCATGCAAATGCGAGTAGATACATAAGTACCACTTCGGTGGGGAAGAAACAGGGCTTTGTGACATCACGCTGACCAAATGACCATGGAAATGTCTTTGGATAATCTGGCCCTTGAAAAGGAGATGAACACTGCCCCCTATAGTTGGTTATGACTAGCGGAGTAAAATCCTCAGGGATTCCTTCCTTTCCTCTCTCCTTCAAGAAATTATTGCATTTATTTTTTAAATGACTATTTCCTTATGACCCTATCTGTATAATGAAGAAATATTTAGAGGTCTTTCTTTGGATAATTCACTGTCACAAAAAAAATGGTAAATAGAAGACAAATCTAGTGTCTTTTCTGTGCTGGCACCTTGGTATTTTTGACATCCTATGGCTCTCTGCCTGCTCTGATGGGATTTTAATGCCAGGGGAAGATCTTTTAAATCCCTAAGCATTTTAAATGGTATTTTTTTCTCCAATGATTGGATTTCATTACATTTTCCCATCTGCTGTTTTTCATCTTAATGCTGTTATTTTATGGTATGCATTTCATTACTTTTGTTGTAGTATTTTATTTCTATTTTCATTACAAGACCATCCTGTGTAAGTGACTTGGAAGGGCAGCATATAAATAACAAAAATAAAAATAATAAAAAATAATTTTGGAAGTGAAAGAAGTGTAGCCATTCAGACTCCAAACAGACTCTCAAAATAGATTGAAATACAGACTTTCAAAAGATTTTAAGAAATGTACTGAAAATACATTTGTCATTTTCACTTTCATGGGGCTTAAGGGTTCTACTTCAATTTCAAGCACACCTCAGAGAAGCAAGGATAAATATTTCACCTTGAAACGACAAGTCATTAGAAATCTGACATATAACTCTCAATGTATCAATGTAGTCAATAGCAGAGATCCCCAACCTTTTGGGCACCAGGGACCGGTTCTGTGGAAAGAGGGTTTTCCGCGGACCGGAGGGTGCATGGTTTTGTGTGCTGCCTGCATCTCATAGATAGAATAGAATAGAGCTGTAAGGGACCTTGGAGGTCTTCTAGTCCAGCCCCCTGCTCAAGCAGGAGAACCTATACCATTTCAGACAGGTGACTGTCTAGTCTCTTCTTAAAAATCTCCAGTGATGGAGCCCCCATTATTTCTGGAGGCGAGCTGTTCCACTGACGGGGCTTTGCTTGTTTGTGCGCCCAGTTGCTAGCATCCGCAGCCCGGTACTGATCCACAGACCGGGGGTTGGGGACCCCTGATCTATAGGTTATATTGGCCTTTCTTAGATGAAACCTTTAAATATCCTAGTTTTTTAAACTAAATGTTTAAATGTAGATGTCCATTCATTCTGAAGCCTCCTTTTCTAAAGCATTTTCAAATGAGCATTTGAAGCTGTCATGTATTAAACTGGATCTCGGTCCATCTATGAATTGCTATCAATTCAAACTTGGTGCCGTGGCTTTCAAATTAATTTGAATTATCAAAACCTTACTCTTTATATGTCATCTTAAGGATAAATTCTTGAGAATGCAATTTGCAATCAATGAGTTAAGCCATCTTGGCTAAGAAAAAAGAAAGCAGGGGAACAAAAGACAGAGAAAATGAAAGAGAGAAAAAGAGACAGCAAAAGACTATTGCCAGAACCGAGGTGGTTGATTGTACTGACATGCCCTACCAAGGAGACAGCTTTGTCCCTTGCCTCCCGTCTTGCCCACAATCCACCCATTCCCTCCCCTAAGAAAATGGCTTTGTTCTCACCTGGTCTGACTCCTGCTAGGACAGGCAGCGGGTGGTGGGTGAAAGCCATTCTCGGGGAGGTGGTGTGGGAGGACAGGGCGCTGCAGAAATCCAGCTTTCCTGACTTCTTTAAAGAAGCCGGTCCTGGCAAGGAATCAGGGAGAAAGTTCATGGTTTAACAGGTGGAGGAAAGATGGATTAGTAGTTAGCCATGCTCTTTCATTCAGTTCTGTGGTCCAACGTATGTTCTACAATAGATCTATGGGATTATATTGGGAACAGCTGCTTTCAATTTTTAGTTTCTCTACCTGTCAATGAACAGTTTAAAGAAGCAGCTCACATATCTAGTCTGCATAAAAGCGAACAATGAAGTAGATACCATTATCATTCATTATTTTTAAAGCACTTAATATATACTATTAAGAGCAATCTCATCTCTGAGGTGCCTCCATCAATAAAATATAATAAAAGTAAATAAAATCTCTTTTGTGTCAAGTTTGGTTCCCCCATGGAACCTACATACATCTAGGCAACATACAGAAGTGGCTGCTTGTGCCCAATTCCAGGATTTTCTTTTTACTTATACTCCAGCCTACAGCCCTGGGATTCCCTTTGGTCTCTCATTCAAGTACATATCCTTAGCTTCCAAGAGCAGACTAGATCAGCCAGGTTCTACCCCTTGCTAAGTACAATCAATTAGTGTTTTGACTCTATCAGGTTGCAACACTTTATTTCCTTTCAAGAATTTATCTTCCCCTCCCCCCCTCTGCTACTCACTATTTCTTGTCCTAGAGCACATCTAAGTTTGTTATATCTCAGTGATCAGATGTAATCTGAATGTTTATTAGGGTTTTCAAAGCCCTGCACCAGAGCAGTTTCTTGCCTTTGTTCTAAAGCAGTCTTGCTTCAGTGGAGTTTGCCATGCAACTGAAAATGCTTATTTGCATGACAAATGCTACTCTTCCTTTGAATTAACAGTCATTAAACATCAATATAAATTTGTTCAAAGGCTGTTTAAGTTTGCCCCACAGTTCCCTGCAAAGACATAGATTTGTCACGTCAGTTGAGCAAGAGTCAGATCTTATTTGGGTGCCAGCAGAACTAATAATAGCCAAAAAGTGAAGAAAGTAAATAGTAAAAGACACAGGTACATGAAAAAAAACCTCTTAATAATTCACAAGAGAACTATTGAAATTGCTTATTTTTCAGAAATGGCTTCACTTCTTCACTGAAATACTTTTCCTATATTTTCCTGAATCTCTTGATTCCTATTTCCCCCCAGAAATTATTATTTATTTATTAGATTTAGATTCTGTTTCTGTTTTGTATAACTCAAGGCAGCATATACAATACTCCCGGGGTTGGGTTGGCCTGAGATAGACTGACTGGTGTAAAATTATGTTTCCAGTTTCCATGCCTAGAGCGCACCATCTCCCAGTTTCTAGTCCAGGACATTATCCACTATGTCAGGGGTCCCCAACTCTCGGGCCACAGCCCATTATTGGGCCTTGAGCCTTTCGGAACCAGGTCGCGGAAGTGGTGGGTGAGCACTCACGTGTTCCATTTGTGCAAATAGAGCTGTGCATGCACGCGTGCCTGCTGCTCACATGGAACATCCCCTCTCCCCCTCCCCCACCAGTCCGCAAAGCCAAAAAGGTGAAAACTGTGAAACTGGCTCTCTTGGCTTGACTGATACACTTCTGTGAAGTACTGGTGGTGGGACAGATATCATCAAAGTGGGAAACCAAACTGACAAGCACATGTTTGTTTCCAGTTTACTTATTTGTTTGTTCAACATATTTAATCAAAAGGTTGCCCCCCCACACCCAAAACCTCATGTGTTGTACAAATCTGAGAAACAAAGCAGGCTATTCCTTCTATCTTATATACCAGGTAGTGGTAGGACTGGGTCTTGCTAAAAGAAGACCATCCTGCATTTTAAATGACTGTATCTTATGACCTCTCATAAGGCCAATGAGAAAATCTCAGTAAAATCAGACACTGGAACAAGCAGACTATGCAGTTATATCTCAAGGATATAATTAGTCTGCTCCTAAGAAATAAGTATACTAGAGTATATTATAAAGTATAAGTACATTATATAATGTACTTATAGATTATAAGTACATTATGATCAAGGAATCTTGGAATGTGTTTGTAATCTTTTTTCTTACATATTACTGGGCTTAGTATCCTTAATATTAAGGATACAGTAATACAGTATATAAGTATCAAGAGCCATATAAGAAGTTCCGTAACAGCCCAGTTTGGTCTGTTCTGTTCTAATGGTTAAGGCACCAGACTAGAAATCAGGAGACTATGAGTTCTTAGGCAAGAAAGCCAGTTGGGTGATTTTGGGCCAGTCACTCTCTCTCAGCCCATGACACGAGGCTTGGGTGAGACAAGCCAGTTGGACAGTTTCTGTCACAACCAATGGATCAACACTTGGTTGATCTAAAAAAAGTAGATCATGCATTTGTGGGAAAACACTACGAAGAAAAAAAAAATCCCAACATTTTTAATGTTGCTTTAAAAGTGTTGTGGGACTCAGTTTTGACTAATACACTGACGATGAAGGTTGAAGTATTTGAACTGGATTTTTGTCCTGTTTTTCATATTCATAGAGTCATACAATAGACAAATACATGTAGTAATTTCATCTTTGAATGGGGAAGTTGCGAATGACTGAGAGTACTTCTGCAGTTGAAATTGGAGATGTTAGTATTTTGCAGTGGGGAAATGCTTTGCAATGGGAGTGGGAGAGAAAATGTAAATGCCAGCCCTGAAGATAGAGAAATAGATCTTAGGGGGGCGGAATTAAAATGGCAGGGCATTGCTGAGGGAGAAAGAGGAGTCTCACAGCATTTTATTTTCAGTGTGATATTAGACTCCAGAAGTTTTACGGGTGTATGGGGTAAGTTCAAATGTAACTTATACAGACAAATTACACATTTCATTGAGGATAACAGTTTTTATATATCTGGGAGTCCCCATAAAAAAAAGAGTGTGCCATAAACAGCAGTGCAATAGAAATAAACAAATTTTAGGAACAAGATGAAGGACAAAAGGATTCTGAATGCATGCTATAGTGCAGTGATGGCGAACCTTTTAGATACTGAATGCCCAAAAACCGCCCTGCCCCCCTACTCTGTCCCACCCACCCTGCCCTGCCCATCCCACCTCTGCCCTGCCCCGCCCCCCGCTCCCCCTCAGGGCCACCTACCACCTCCATGGCCCGCCGCAGCAGATTGCCCAGGTGGCCCTGCAGCGCCATGGCAGCCTTGCTCTCTGCCTGTGCCATGCAGCATTATCTGTGCACGATGGGGTGCGAGGGTGGAGTCTTGTCCCTGCTGCCCAGCTGCAATGTCCTTGGCTGCGCCACTCCATGCAGGCCACGCCCGGGAGCGACTGTCCTCTGGGGGGGCTGCTGGTGTGGAGGGGGCCATGGGGGGAGGCGGGGCTGGGGTGACGGCACATGTGCCCACAGAGAGGGCTCTGCATGCCGCCTCTGGCACGCATGCCATAGGTTCGCCACCACTGCTATAGTGTGTCCACATAAATGATCAATAAATAAAAAGTAAATCAAGAAATTCAAACTTTAATATTTAAAATGTAAATATGGAAGAGTGCCATGTGAATTGAAAGCTTGATAGCTTAAAAAATAAGTGGTTGAAATTTGGATTTATTCAGAAATAGCTGGGTATACTCAAGAACAAAATGTTGAACTGTCAGAGAGATGGTTCAGATCATTTCATTTGGCCAGCCACAATTTAAAAAGTGTGATATGTGCTTAAAGTTCTTCAAGTCAAAGGATTTATTACCTTCTTCCTTCAGGCAGCTATTTAGTGAATAATGCCTGTTTTTCATAGCTTGACTATGTCTTGTTTCAATAGGCACTGCTGGCATCAGCATGTATCTCTCATTATATCAAATTATTTATTAAATAGGATTGCAAGTTTAATCTGCAAAGCTGTTTTATTATTTACTATTAATTAATATTGCTAATTTTCATTTCTGTACTTGATTTATTCAGGAGTTGGAATTATCCGAGGTTGAACAAAGAATATTGCTTAACCATGCCCTTTTAGAACAACCACTTAAAAGTTATTTCCCATATGTTAAGAAGATAAAAAGGTATATCCAGCATTCTATTCTTAAAGAAGCTACCCCAAACTTTCAGACTTGCACAGAAGATCTGCCTGAAATAGCACCTTATGGATTGTTATTTATTAACAATGAATTCAGTTTTTGAAAGTGGTTTATAATACAATTATAATACAATTAAATGCTACAGATCCACATGTAAAAGGAAAATATTACCAGATTTAGTGGTATTGAAGATTAGCAGTAATGCAACTCCTCCCCCCAACTCTGGATAGGAGGATTTATTGGGTAGTGCACAAAGAGCTCAAGAAAAATTTAATATCTTCCTTCCCCTGTCCTTACCACTTTCTATAGAGGGACAATCGAGAGCATCCTGTCTTATTGCATTACTGTCTGTTTTGGAAGCATCACTGCTTCGGACAGGAAAATGGTGCAGAGAGTGATGAGGATGGCAGAAAACATTGGTAGTTCACTTCCTTCTATCCAGGACATAGCATATAAGCGATGCTTGAGCAAGGTCCACAGGATTGTCTGGGATGCTATATATCAGACATGTCCAAAGTCCGGCCCGCGGGCCATTTGCGGCCCGCGGCCCGGTTTAATCCGGCCCTCGAGCAGCCCTCCCTGCTCTATATAAATGCGGCCCTCCCACGGCCCTCCGGCAAGTCCCATGAGAGAGAGAGAGAGAGAGACAGAGACAGAGACAGAGGCACTTGCACTTGCACTTCTGTCTCTCTCTCTCTCTCTCTCTCATGGGACTTGCCCCCTTGCAGGGCTCCTCATTGGCCCTGCGCCCTGTTACCCCGCCACCATTGCCCTGTGGTTATAAGTGTCCCGGCAGTTGGGACCCGCCCCTCCCGGAAGTCAATAAATCCTTGGCGGTTCTCCGTCCGGCCGCGGCTTTCCCCGGCCGGCTCCAGCAGTTCCGGCTGATTGCCGGCACGTGGCTGTTTCTCCCTGGCAGCCTCNTGGCTACAGCGGCTCGGGGTTTCCCGTCCCGGGCACGCCAGGCAGCGCTGCAGGGAACGGAAGGGAGGGGG